TATATATGAATTACAAATAGCTCAGCAAATTAAAGTGCCTGCTTAGGCAGAGCACAGAGGCTGAGGTTCAATCCCTGGCCTGCTGTGCCAGACCCCTCCCCGCCACCCCGGGGCACGCTGAGACAGTGATCGAGACTGGGCGTGGTAGCACACGCCTGTAATCCCAGCTCTTGGGAGGCTGAAAAACAGGAGAATCACTGAGTCCAGTCTATGTAGTGAGACCTTGTACCAAATACATTAAAAAAAAAAGAACTACAACAATCAGCCAGGCATGGTGGTGCATGCCCATAATCCCAGCATTCAGGAGGCTGAGGCAAAAGGATTGCCATAAGTTAGTTCAAGGCCAGCCTGAGCTACAGAGTTGAGGGGCAGCCTGAACCATACAGCAAAACTCTGTATAAAAAAAAGAGAGAGAAAGAAAAAGAATTACAAATATTTTTCCTAGTTTGTTATCCTTTTTTTTTTTTTTTAACAGCAAATGTATGGAGGGTTTGCTCAAGATGGAACCCAGGCCTTCCCAGCGTGCTACAACCCCAGTCCTTTTTACATTTTTAAAATTTGGAGACAGAATTTTGCTACATCACTAACATTCCCAAATTGGGCTCAGACTCTTGATCCTTCTGCCTCTGCCCCCCAGAATGCCTGGATTATTGGCATGCACCACTGTGTCGGGCTGAGGTGAATATATTAACCTTTTCGTTATACCTTTCCTCACTCCAAAGGTACAAGGGATTTTCCCCTATTTTCTTAGAGTATTTATCTTGACAAAGTTCATATCTGTTGGGGCTGGGGAGATGGCTCAGGGGCATAAGCCAAGGGCCTGAGTTTAATTCCCGGTTCCACAAGTTCACATCTGTTATCTTTATTTGTCTTGTTGCAATGCTGGGATTGAACCCAAAGTTTTGCACATGCTAGACAAGTGGCCCTGCACTGGGCCCCACACACCCCAACTCCTATCACTTTCAAAATTCAAAGTCAAAAACAATGGCTTGAGTGACCCACGTCACCCATGTGACGAAGAAGCACAGAAGGAAGAAAACCTGGTGTTGCTTTCTTGAGCATGGTGGTGGCCCTGCCTGGCACACAGTAAGGTCACGGTGCCTGTGCGAGCCCTCGGAAGTCAGCAGATCTGAGGCTGAGCTCAGGACAAAGTCTGGATGGAGACCCAGAGGCGACCAGACAGGTGTCAGTCACAGCATGTATGTGCAGAGGGCAAGCGTGGTGGCACACGTCTTAACTTCCTTTAATTTTTAAAAATCTTTTATTCATTTGGTACAGGGTCTCACTACGAAGCTTGGACTCACAGTGATTCTCCTGTCTCCGCCTCCCCAGCGCTGGGATTACAGGCATACACCACCATGCCCGGTTTCGGGGGCCTCCGCCATGCACCCGGGGTTTTGGGCTGGCATGGCATGCAGTACTGGGAATCAAACCCAGGTCCTTCTGCTTGCCAGGCAGGCACTTAGACCGCCGAGCTATCTCCCCAGCCCTGCTCTTGAATTTTTACGTAACTTTTCTTAGCTTCACCTTCTGTAAAATGAGGACAGTAATAGTACGGATCTCACAGAGTCATTCTGAGGATTAAATGAGTTAATACTTATGCAGCCCTTAAATTGGTACCTGTCACCTAAAAGTGCTACATAAAATGAAATGAAAAATATTATTCATTCATGAATATTTATTAGCTAGTTTGGGCTGGGCAGTGTTGGGAGTCTATCATCCGGGGGTAGGGCAGTGGGGGAGACAATTTATAAAGTAAATCAGCAAAGTATACAGTTTGCTGGACGCAAGTGGAGACAGGAGAGGTGCTGGGGATTGGCAAGGCCAGGAAGGAGGCCAGCGCTTGGTGGCTGGTGGGGGAGGGCTGAGCCTGAGGAGTCCTCCGCAGACGCGGGGGCGGCTGAGACCTCAGAGTACCAAGGGTCGCACCACGTCACGTGACAGCAAACACATTTATCCAGCGCTCTTGCGAGGCATAGAGCTGCCGCACAGTTACGGAAACTGCTGCGTAAGTTAATAAGGCCCAAGTCAGCTGGCCCCAGTGCTGCTGGATCAGACCTGCAAGTAGTGGGGACAGCGCGGGGCGCTAAGTCCAGGACCCGGCAGAGTCTTAGCTTCAGGCAGAATGGAAAAAATATGTACGCCCCCAGCACCTCCACACCCAAGACTCACTGCTCAACAGTGGGTGTCCCCGCAGGATACAGAACCCTCAGGCAGTGGGGTCAGCTGCGGAGTCCTTCACCCCAGAGCCAGATCTGAGACGGTAACAGACACCAAGGACTCCACACTGCAACTGGAGACCGAAAGGCATCTTGTTGAGAGGCTCAAAAACATACAGCAGAAGGGACAGGTGGGTCCAGTGAGCTCAGCTCACAGGGGTAAAAGCCCAGAGAGGGGGACCCCTCACCAGTTTGCAAGCTTCTTCCATTGCCACCCCAGCCATACGGGGATCGAACCCAGGGTCTTCATCCCCAGCCCCTTTTATTTTTTACACAGATTCTCATTAAGTTGCTCAGGCTGACCTCAAACTTGCCCTCCTCCTGCCTCAGCATGCTGGGTTAACAGCCGCGCACTATTCGGCTTTCAATCTCTCGCTCTCGTCCAAATCTTAACCTCCACAAGGCAAAGATCGCCAGACCATGTTCTCAAACGGGGAAATCGAGGCCCATGGCAGAGAGTGAATCAGTGAAGCTCGCAGCAGGACTGAGAGTTGGGTGGCCGAGAGCCCTTTCCACAGCATCACTCATTGACACGGTGTGACAGAAGCAGGAAGAAGGTGGGGGCGGTGGGAGGCAAGGAGCAGCTAATCAGAGGGACAGAGGCTAATACAGAACACCTGTGATCTCCAGCCCCCCCTCCCCGCCCCCCACGCACCGGCAGGCCCCGGGGTTGGTCAGCGAGCACCATCTCACGCCTTCATTCCCACGCCCAGGCCAGCTGGGCTGTGAAGAGAAAGGAGCAAAGCCTCTCAGAATCAGACAGCAGGGCCGGGGAGATGGCTCAGTAGAATAAGCGTTTGCCAAGCAAGCGCAAGGGCTTCAGTTCAATCCCCGGTTCCGCAAAATAAATAAAAATAAAATAAAAATCAGACAGCACTCGACAGTCTCCAGCTGCACCATCACTAAACGTCATTGGAGAGATTGGGTTCTCACTATGTAACCCCAGCTGGCATCAAATTACTGCAATCCTCTGGCCTCAGCCTCCTGAGTGCTGAGATTACAGGCATGTCTGTCTGTCGCTAAACTTGAGAGCAGGGCATATAGATAAGGGTGGTCCCTTCATCCCCATTGTACAGACAGGAGATCAAGGCCCAGAGATAGGAAGTGTTTCTCCAGAAGTTCAGAGCAACTCTGAGATAGGAATCAGGTCTCCTGACCAGGGGATACTGGAGGGCCATTCGTTCCCTTGCTCGCGCCTTCATACGGGGTCTCCGGAAGAAAGCCTTGGGATCCAGAACTAATATTCCTGCTTGGCCATGCAGGGACTTACTGAGTGACTTTGGGGACTCCTCATTTAAGTCCCACAAGTGCAGGGATCTTCATCCCTGATGTACCTCCAGCCCCAATAGATATCAATCCAGTGAATGTCTAGAAATGAAGGATCAGGGAAATGGCACGGTAAGAGCCTGACGCCTGAAGACCAGGGAACCGGGAGCCTTAATTTTCAGAACAGGCTAAATTTCTGTTCACGGATGTTTTGTGAGGGTCCGTTCTGTGCTGCGGGCCGGACGTGGTTAAATTCGGAACCAGATCTCCGGTGCAAGGTAGCGGCTGGCGGCATGAATGCCAGGGAAGCCGTCCGCACCACATAGTACAGACGCTGCGCTCAGCCCGAGCTGCCCCGAAGGCGGCAGGCGAGGGACGCGGTGCTGTCGCGGGGCGCCGGCCGCCCACCTGCCAGAGGCTGCGCCGCGTGTGTGGGAGAGCTCTGCCTCAGTGAGGTCACTTCCCACCCCCAGATTCTGTCTACAAAACCCTGCCATCCTGACGCTGAAGACTCGGATCCTACTATTTTCTGATATTCAAGGTCCCAAGAAGCTGACAGCCCCGAATTCTAAGTCATCCGTCTGCCCAGGCTCCGGTACTTCAAAGAAACGGAGGCAGATTCCGCAAGGGTCCCACCGTCCGCGGCCTCAGCAGGCCTCACGGCACTCAGCGCCCTCCTCCCCACCTCGCGCGGTGGGAGGGGGTAACTTGGACACCCGGGTGCGGATGAGACAGGTGTCCCAGGGACAGCGTTGACAGAGCCAGGACACGTGACAGCCGGAGTCACGTTCTGCGGAGGGAGCCGGGACGGTCACATGATGCGGGGGCGCCATGGGGTGATGTGAGACACGGGTCTCTCAGATTACGTACGAATGACGCAGTCCCACCCCTTTGGCAACTACCAGATTTCCGTCCTAGGATGGGACGGTTCCGGTAAAGGGGGCGGGTTCTCGCATCGCGGCACCTCTGTTTCCGGTCGGGGCGCTGTAGTTTCCGGCCCTACCTTGTCCTCGGGCCAGGAAGAGACGCGACCTCCTGCGCATGCCCCGAGCCATCCCGAAGGGGCGGGGCTGCGACTGCGGGAGTGGGAGCGGGAGGGGGGCCGAAAGGGGAATTCCAACCTGTGGAACTTCGGGGATCCCGAGGTCGGCTCCTTCCTACTGACTGTGGATAGTGCAAGAGACGGGGCCCCCTGGCGGCTTGTGCAGTTGTTGGGGCCCTCAAAGATGAGGGAGGGCAATGTCATTATGAGTGGGGTCCGGGACATCCGAATTTAGGATCTATTTTGGGGTTGCGTATCGGGAATCGAGCTCAGGACCTTGCGCGAGCCAGGCAGGCGCTGCGCCGCTGAGCTGTCCCGCGCCCCGAGTTTAGGGTGTTGAGGCCCTCGGAGCTCTGACACCGGGGAGAGGGAGCTTGGGCCGCCATGCGGGACAGGACCCACGAGCTGAGGCAGGTGAGGAGTCGGGAAGCAGGGCGGAGGGCGGCGCGCGGGCTGGAATGCAGGGCGCCTGCTTTGGGGGCCGGAAGGGGTGGCTGGCAGCCAGTGTGGAAGATCCCGGAAGCGCGTGGGACTTGCGAGGCGAGAGCCCCAGCAAGGAACTGGTGCCAGCGACTCCGGCTCCCGCAGGGGGACTGCAGCTCGGACGAGGAGGACAAGGAGCGAGTCGCGCTGGTGGTACGCCCGGGCACGGCCCGACTGGGAAGCCCGGACGATGAGTTCTTCCGGAAGGTAAGGGTCCGAGGTCTCGGCCTGGCCTTTCGAGGGGCAGGAGGACTGAGGAGCAGCGTGGTCTGGAGCACCCATATCTCTTTCAGCCCTCTCCGTCGTCCTCCCTAGGTCCAGACTATTCGGCAGTCTATGGACAAGTTGGAGAGTAAAGTCCGGGAGTTAGAGAAGCAGCAGGCCACCATCCTCGGCACGCCCCTTCCCGAGGAGAGTAAGCAACGCCCTGGGCACACGCATGCTCCGTGCGATGAATTGCAGTTTTGTGCAGGTGGTGGCCAGGATGGGTTCCTTGAGGTTGGGGCTGTGATTTGGGTGGAAATCTTAGTTTTGTTTGTGTAGGCATGAAGCAGGACTTGCAGAACCTGCGCGGTGAGATCACACAGCTGGGGAGCGAGATCCGAGCACAGCTGAACGGTGAGCTCCTAGGACCTCGGACAGATCCTCCCCTAGGGTCCCGCCCTATTCGTGGTGTGTGGCCCTGAGATGCCAGTGATATATCCGGGTCACACAGCAGGCCTGAGTCTAGAATCTCGGTCCTCTAGCATGCACTCCGTAGCACAAGCCTGCCTCTCAGGTTCCTTTATTTACAGAGAAACAAATTACATAGTTCATTCTGCCCAGTGTGCGTTCTTTGGGCAAGCAGATGGGGGTTTCTGTTAGGAGGCCTCTTATACTTGGGGGAAGCCACTTATGTAGTGCAAAGAAAAATAAATTTTTTCCTCACAGAGGTCCACCATTGGTCCATTTATTTATGTATGCATTTATTTTATTATCGTGGTGTTGGTGCTCAAATGGAAAGCCTTGTGCATACCAAGCGCACACTTAACCACTGAGCTACATTCCTCAGCCCTTAGTCATTGTATAATTCTATTTCCCTAAAAAGCCATGTGGAGACAAGACCCTTCCTCTTTTGTAGTTGGAATATGACCCTGGCCCTGTGTCCTGGTCCCCAGAGTTTTCAGCAGGCTGAGATCAAGCCCCCTCTCCCTGCATCCCTTGTGTCGTCCCACAGCCTTAAAGCCTCAGAAGGAGGAAGCTGATGAAAATTACAATTCTATCAACACGAGAATGAGAAAAACCCAGGTGGGTTGGTTTTTCCCAGAACTAGGAAATTTTAGCCAGTGTTTCCTAAGTCATTAAATGGTAGGTATATGATGAGAACCTTGACTCCAACCTGCTGATTTTCCAAATGGGGAAGCCAGGAGCCAGAAAGAGAAAGAACTCAGTCACAGTGGAGAGCCTGCTCTTCTGATTCAGCACTGTGCTATAACACCCTGCTTTCTTTTCCTCCTTTCAATGAGAAGTTGTTGTGTGACCTAGGCCTGGCAACAGGGGACACGCTTTCCAAGAGATGAGATGGGGAATTTGGGCTGGGTAGGAGACAAAGACATTACTCATGGAGGACTTGGTGCCTGGTGGCTTGGCCCAGGAAAGGAGAGGAGGAGGTCAGAAATGACTTGGCAAAGGGCCGGCCAAATAGCTCAGCGGATTAAATCGTGGGGCCGAGAGTTCAATCCCCAGGACTGCCATGCCAGCCCCATCCCTGGGGAGCACTGAGACAGCAATTGAGACTGCGCGTGGTGGCGTACACCTGTAATCCCAGCTCTTGGGAGGCTGTAAACAGGCAGATCACTAGAGTCTGATCTAGTAGTAAGACCCTGAACACCCTGTAGACCCTTCCCTTAAATAAATAAATATGACTTGGCAAAGGTTTCTACCTATATGACAGGGATATCCTTGGCCTTAGGGACAGAATTCAAGAAAACAGGAAGAGGAAGAAGTTCCCTAGGACAACACTAAAGAGGAACTTCCCTGGGGTGACAGCTTAGTAAGGAGATTTGAAATGATCTGCCTCCTGCCCATCCTGTGCCCACAGAGAAGTAGTTTGGGGTTCACAGAGTTCAGGCTTAGAGAAGGTAGGCCCAGAGCTCATCAAAGACCCCAGATGGAGAGGTTTGGACCTCTTGAAAGGATGCTGCTGAGTCCAGGAAAGGAGATACATCTGTTGAAAAGCTACTCTATCCCAGTGCTCAGGAGGCTGAGGCAGGAGGATCGCCATGAGTTTGAGTCCAGCCTAGGCCACATATTGAGTTCAAGGCTAGCCTGAATTACAGTCTCTTCTCCAAAAGAAGGTACTCTGGGGAGGGGGGTCAGGGAAGGAAGAGGAAGGGGAAGTAAAAAGAATTAAGATGTATTATATACATGTATGGACTCTCCATGAGGAATGTAATCATTATGTTCTGCAAAAATGTAGTAATAAAAATAAGAAGGGCTGGGGATATAGCTCAGTGGCATAAGCACCTGCCTGGCACGCACAGGGTCCTGAGTTCGATCCCTGGTACCACAAAAAAAATAAATAAATAAATAAATAAATAATGATAATTAAAAATAAAATTTAAAAAATTTAAAAAATAAATAATAAAAACAAAAGGTACTTTAAAGTAGGTGTGGCCTAACCCAAATTCTCTGGGAATCTGAGGCAGAATGATCACAAGTCCAAACCCAGTCTGGGCAACTTAGAAATTTATGAGGATTTTTGTGTCAAAATAAAAAATTAAAAAGGGCCTGGCTCGGTACTAAGGTCCTGCATCCAACCCCCAATGCCAAGGGGGAAAACAGACTTTCAGAAATGAGCTTATTTAAGGCACAGGGTAGAACATGTCCTAGACAGTGTGTTTCAGAGGGAACCTGTTGTGGCCTTTGATGTGACAGGCCAGGCATCCGGAGGGACCTGTTACACATGGGCAGCGTGGCGCCTGCCATACACAGTCACACATTGAGGCTGGCGTTTGGCGTGTGTCCACCAAGTGCCTACTGTGTACCAGAGCCTTTCTGAACAAGAAAATCCCTATCCTTGAAACACTTCCACTCAGTAGCATGAGACAATCATCATCATAAATGAGTTCATCATTTTATTTTTATATTTTATGTATTTGGTACAGGGTCTACAGGGTCTCACTACATAGATTGCACTTGTAGTGATTCTCCTGTTTTCAGCCTCCAAAGCCCTGGGATTATGGGCATGTGCCACCATGCTCAGTCTCAATTACTGTCTCAGTGTGCCCTTGGGGTGGGACTGGCATGGCTTGTGGTGCCAGGGATTGAACTCCGGTCCCTGTGCTCTAACTAAGCAGGCGCTTTTGTCCACTGAGCTATCTGGGCAGCCCTGAGTTCATCGTTTAGACTACAGTGACTATTAGGAAACAGAGCAGCGGAAGAGGGCTAGAGAATAGTGAGGAGGTAAGGTTGCAATTTCAAGAAGATAGAGGGGCTGAAGGTGAAGCTCACTGGTAGAGTGTGCACTTAGCACACCAAGGTTCAGCCTCAGCATCACAGGAAACAAAGTAAGAAGATAAGCTATGGGCCGGGGAGATAGTTCAGTGGAATGAGCGCTTCCCTGGCAAGTGCAAGGGCCTGGGTTCAATCCCTGGTTCCAAAAAAAAAAAAAAAAAAAAAAAAGATAGGAAGATAAGCCAGGCTTGTGCTGAGAGGCTGAAGCAGGAGAGTCCCAAGTTTGAGTCTAGTCTGGGCAACTTAGCCATGATGCAGACCCATGGTAAAGGCCCTGGGTTTAATCTTCAGTACTGCAACAATACACACACACACACACACACACACACACACACACACACACAAAGCTTCCTTCAGAAGATGAACAGAGACTTGAAGGCATGTGGGAAGTGAACATTCTAGACAGCAGGAGCAGTGGGTTCAAGGCCTCCCTTGGGTGCACGCTTTGTTCAGGAAGGATAAGGAAGCCACTGTGGGTGGAGAGACACAAGAGCAAAGATCAGAGAGGCGACAGCGCAGGAGAAGATCCTGTTGAAGGCCTTGGCTGCCTCTCAGAAGTGAGGGAGCCTGACAGGGTGATCAGCAGGTGGCGAAGGCAGTGGGCACCTCCTGGTGCTCTTTGCTTATTGTACCCCAGGAGTGGCGAGGCCCAGAGGGGTGAGGGTCTTGCAGTTCTCACCCCATGTTCCCATCCCTAGCATGGCGTCTTGTCCCAGAAGTTTGTGGAAATCATCGACAACTGCAACTTGGTGCAGTCCGAGTACCGGGAGAAAAATGTACTGCGCATCCGCAGACAGCTGAACATCAGTGAGTGGGGCTCGGCCTCTGGGATGGGCCAGGCAGTGCAGAGCCAGCTCTGAATGTCCCTTTTCCTTCACAGTCAATGGCGGAATGGTATCCGATGAGGAGCTGGAACAGGCTTTGAACAGTGACAAGAGTGAGGTGTTCATATCCAATGTGAGTGGCCACACCAGCCTCGCTGTCCTGTCTCCCCTGAACCCTCTTCTCTGGGGGCAGACCAAGGCCTGGAGGGGATGAAGGAGCCTGGCTGGAGTCACTGTCAGGCTCAAGCCTTGCTCTAGGCCAGGGTGCTGCCCAGAAGCCCCACAGGACCTCTGACCCATTGCTGGCCTCCCAGTGACCTGTGCCCCCGTTCCTGTGCACCTCCAGATACTGAAGGACACACAGATGACACGACAGGCCTTAAATGAGATCTCAGCTCGGCACAGTGAGATCCAGCAGCTAGAGCGGAGCATCCGGGAACTTCATGAGATCTTCACTTTTCTGGCTACCGAGGTGGAGATGCAGGTGGGTGTCCCAGGAACCCCCGCAGACAGAAGGCTGTGCGCTTGGAACCCTCCGCCATGGACCAGGCTGACCCTCTCCTTCAGACTCTGCACTGAGCTTTGTGTTCTGTCACCCTTGGCCATGTCCTGAGGTGACCCTGACTTCTAACCTCAGCCAAATCCCGACAGCTGCCTGTGTCATTCCTGCATACCTGGATGGCAATCCACTTGGCCCTCTACCCTGGGCCTGCCTCAGGGAGCACCTCAACCATGGCTCTTTTCCTACTGACAGAACCTACCATTATGCTTCTAAGAACTAGTCAGAGTTACCATCTAGGATCCAGGCATTATGGCAGATACTTATAATCCCAGCTACTTGGGAGGCTGAGGCAGGAGGATTGCAAATTTGAGGCAGCCTGGGAATTTTAGCAAGACCCTGTCTCAAAAGTTAAATAAGGGCCCGGGAGATGGCTCAGTGGAATAAGCGCTTCCCTGGCAAGCGCAAGGGCCAGAGTTCAATCCCCGGTTCCGCAAAAAAAAAAAAAAGTTAAATAAGCCAGGCATTGGGCCAGATAGCTCAGTGGACTAAAGCGCCTGCTTCAATCCCAGACGTGCTATGCTGGCCTCACAGGGCGCGCTGAGACGGCAGTTAAAGGGCTGCCACTGAGTGGGAACGTTGGGACCTGAAGGCTGGCAGTGCCAGCAGGAGGCAGGAACAGGGCGGGCTTCATAGCAGCTGGGAGAGAGGCCTAGAAGAATGGGCGAATTCAGACAGATTTATTTGGGGACAAAAGTTCATCTGTGAACAAGGTGTGAGCTGCTGGGTGTGGGTGCACGTGCCTGTAACTGCAGCTCCTGAGAGACTGAGGCAGGAGGATACATAGGCCCTGTCACAAACAAACAAACAAGTGAGCTTTTTGTGGTCCTTGGCTCAAGGCTGCCACTGGACACGGAGGTTGTATGGATTGAGGAAACACAGGAGAAGGGACCATGTCACTGAAGGAGGCCTGGAAGCCATCGAGCTAGATCTGGCCCTGCCAGATCTCTGTGGGCTTTTTTTTTTTTTCCCCGTCAGAAGTGTCTTTTTGTCATCCGGGGCAGAGCTGAGCAAAGGTGCTGTTCCATCCGTGGCTCCCTGAACCACTCCATTCTCTGAGCAGGGGGAAATGATCAACCGGATTGAGAAGAACATCTTGAGCTCAGCGGACTACGTAGAACGAGGGCAGGAACATGTCAAGGTAGCCCTGGAGAACCAGAAGAAGGCGAGGAAGGTGAGCCGCAGCCCTGGCCCTGGCCCTGGCCCTGGCCCTGGCCCTGGCCCTCCCCCTCCTGAATGCTCTCCCTTGACCCTCCTCTCCCACAGAAGAAAATCATGATTGCCCTCTGTGTATCTGTCACGATCCTCATCCTGGCAGTCATCATTGGCATCACCATAGCAATTGGATAACGTGCGTGGCGTGCTCTTGGTGAGACATGGTGGGCCCGCCCTATCGCTGCCTGCGCCTGCCGCCTCCTCCCTTCACACTGCCCTTTTCCTCCTTTCCTTGCAGGCACTGGGAGCACCAGGGACCCAGGGAACCCCGAGGCCCAGGCCTTCTTTCCCAGCAGCTGTGGGGGCAGAGTGGAGCCTCCAGCAGGCCCTGTCCTCATCCTGGCCCCGTGTGGGGAGCAGTGGCTCTCTGGAGTTGGGAGCTGCTCATTCCTGTGGCCTTTCCCATTAGGCCGCCACCAGGGCAAAGGCCTTCAGTGTCCTGTTTGGCTGGGACACATGGTTTTATAAAAAATTAAAAACAAACTTGCAGACCCCTGTCCATGTGTGTTCCTGGTGGGCTGCCAGAGCCTCAAGGCTTCCGGCCTCCCACTCCCCAGCCATCCCTGGGCTTGGTACAGACTGCCTCGGGCAGCCACGGGCTGCTGGTTCTGCCCTTCTGCTGTTCCCTGGGGAGGCTGGGAACATGATGTAGACATTGGATGCCCAGCTCGAGACTCTCCACATTGAGTGTGCGTCCCTGCCCACAGCAAAGTGTCTGCATTTGTGAAGCCTGGTGTTCCTGAGACTGAGAGCAAGAGGCCTCATGAGGGAGATACTGAGTAATCCAGCCCGTTACTTTAGATGTAGTGACAGGAAGGCCTAGTCTCAGAGCAGACAATATTTCCATGAAATGCTAAATGAGGAGCTAGTTACGTAAGGAGGCCCCAGAAGAGCCTGGGCCGATGGGAGAGTGGCCAGGCCCTGTGTCTGGACAGAGGCCTTGCCTTTTTTGTGAACATTCTGCATGGGGCAGGGCCCCTGTAGCATCTGGGGTTCCTTGGAAGTCATGGGGCAAAAGCAGGCCATGGGGCATGAGGCATCCTGCTTTTCAGGGCACTTGGGCTTAACTCCTGAAGCTACATTTCGAAAGGTTCCCAGGCCAGACACCTAATTTCCAGGGAGGAATGTGGCTCTGACCCAGGACGCCAGGCTCAAAGCATAAACTGGCTCCTGGCTCTGGTTCCCGAGGTTGGGAGGCATGTTCAAGCTGCCAAGGCCGTCCCACTCTGTGGGATATCAGCTCACTTGTGTACTCCTGAGCCTGGGATCAGGTTCCTGGCCAGGCCCAGACCAACCCTCGGCTGCTGGGTGGCATCCCTGGCTGCTGGCCACCTATACCACCTGCTGAGCCCCAGAAGACTGCTGTCCCACCTGCGCCTGCCCAGTGCCAGCACTTGGGCCCAGAGTATGTGGGTGTGGTCGAGGCGGTGGGCTGGACTGAGCCTGGGACAGGATTGGCCAACAGCCCTAGGGGAGTGTTCCCTCCTGATGTGACACAGCCCCTGGAAGAAGCTGTGGTGCTGGGGTTGCCCAGGAGTCCCCCCTGGCCCTTCGGTGAGTGGTTAGGTACCAGAATGCCCAGGGCAAGGTCGGACTTCCGAAGTTGGGAAGGCAGGGCTCACCAAGGGACTGGCAGGGGCAGTGAGTTGGATACTTTCAGGAAGGTGCCCCCCTTCCTAGGAGTGTGGAAATACTATCTAGGGGATCATCTTGTGGGGAAGTGTGGGCCTAGTGGATCGCGCCCCAGCCCCAGGCTAGGCTGATTTGCACCTGGGGCTCTGGGCTCCCCTGAATCTCTGTCTCTTCCCCTGTAGCCTATGTCATCCCTGGATCTTGTTGGCTTCCTCTGTGCGCTTTGTCGTCTCTGTCTCCGCAGCGAAATGCAGAACCCAGACACCTATGTGGTCTATGCACTATGCCCGGCCCCACAGCTGGATGCCCACGTACAATGCATGAGTCCTTCCACTTCACCTCCCCTGACGTGGAGCCCAGCTGTCCCACCCAGATGCTGTCCAGGAACCGGTAGCTCGATGGCCAGTCACGTGAGGCTTTGGCTCACACAGGGCCTCAGTGGTCTGCAGTCCCCTGACCTTTGGGTGCCCATGGCTGATTTGGTCAGGTGAGTGACAAGATCGGAGCAGACCTGTCAGGGCATCCCCTGTAGACACCCCTTCGCTGTGGGAAGCCCCTCCTTGAGGACCTGCAGGCAGGCAGATTTTGCAGTGAAGGCTTGGCTGCTGGCAGCTTTGCTGTCACGGAGGAGGTATTGACTAGCTATGGCTTTTCTGAATCCACCTGGTGTTACAACTTGTCAGCTACAGCTTAATCACTCAGTATTTTATAGTTTAAACCCAAGAAGAAGGCTGGGGAGATAGCTCAGCAGTCTAAGCACATGCCTGACAAGCACAAGGACCTGGGTTCAATCCCTAGTACCGCATGCTGTGCTGGCTCTGGGTGCTCCGTGCTGGTCACTGAAACGGATGTGGTGGCGCACGCCTATAATCCCTACTCTGGGGAGGCTGAGACAGGAGAATCACTATGAGTCTGAGCTGTGTAGCAAGACCTATACCAAATAAATAGGTAAGAGATTTTTGTGTGTGTGTGTGTGTGTGTGTGTGTGTGTGTGTGTGGCCAGCTCAGCCCACCAGGGGGCGGGGCTGGCTGGCATGTGGTGCTGGGGGATTGAACCGCGGTCCCTGTGCTTTGCTAAGCTTGTTCTAAGTAGGTGCTTTAGACCACTGAGCCATCTCACCAGCCCCAAAAGATTTTTTTTTAAAGCTGGCTGGAGATGGGGCTGTAGTTCACCTGTAGAGTGAGGCACGATGGGAAGAATGCCCCTTGCCCGCTATGGGCCACTGACTGACTGAGGCTGTTTGTTACCATGTTATGGTTTAAGAAACTGTTACAGATACGCAAAACTGGAGTGGTGACAAAAAAAAAGCCCAAAATAGCTGGCACTGGGCTGGAGCTGGACAGTGGCTGGTAAGACAACTATAATTGGAAGCTGTGAAAATGATGACTCATATTATGCCTCTGGTTAAACTGTAAGCTGGGAATAACTAGGAATACTGTATAATAATGCCCAGATGAGGTGAGGGATTTAGGCCAAATAATTAGGAAGGAAAATATTGATACCACACCTTAGCTGCTCTTGGTGCATTGCACAAGCTGCTGTAAGAAAACTTGGTTAGTTTTTAAGCAGAAATAGAGGAGAATACAGAAACTCCAGGCAAGTGATCTACTCTGTGTACATTATTAGGGCCAGACCCAAAGCCATGCTCCTGCTAGACAAGTGCTCTGTTTTCTGTTACTGGGCTACCTCCCCACCCTTGTGGTCTATATTTTTAATCAGTGGAAGACACAATAAAGAAGAGCCTTAAGAGCCAGTGTAATCCCAGCACTCAGGAAGCTGAGGCAGGAGGATCACTATGCATTTGAGGCCAGTGGGTTACATGGTGAGTTCAAGGCCAGCCTGAATTGCATAGTGAGACTTTTTTTTTTTTTTTTTTTTTGCATAATAAGACTTAAAAAAAAAAAAGAGGAAGAAAAAGGGCCTTAAGTGACAAAATTTGGTTAGAATTCATCTTTGTGGCAGGGGCCATATCAACTTTGTGGCTGTTATCCTTTGGTAAAAACCTCTGAACTGACCAAATTGGTTTCTAACAAAGCTGTTCAGTTAGTGAGGATGATTCAGAGGAAAGAGATGAAGAGGTTTTTTGTTGGTTTGTTCCCTTGTTTTTCAAGGCAGGATCTCACTCTGTAGTGCAAGTTGGCCTCGAGTTCTCTTTGGAGCCCAGGTTGCCCTTGCGCTCACAGCAGTCCTCCTGCCTCAGCCTCCCAAGTGCTGGGACCACATGTGTGCACCAACAAACCTGTCTGAGACAGAGAGTTCAGTTATACCAAGGGAGTTAGTAAGCTTAGTCTGTTTACAGTTAAGTCTAAAGAGACAGGCATCTTTGAGCCAGCCTTAGTGGAACACGCCTGTAATCCTAGAACTACTGTAGGAAGTTGTGGCAGAAAGACCATAAGTTCAAGACCACCCTGAGCAACTTGGTAACCTAGCAAAACCAACTCATTAAAAAAAAAAAAAAAAAAAAAAAGGACCAGGGGCTGGGGAGATGGCTCAGTAGAATAAGCAATTCTTTGGCAAGCGCAAGGGCCTGAGTTCAATCCCTGGTTCCACCCCCCAACCCCCAAAAAAGGACCAAGTATGATGGCATATGCCTGTAATCCCAGCACTCAGGATTTTTGTTACTGGGCTACCTCCCCACCCTTGTGGTCTATATTTTTAATCAGTGGAAGACACAATAGAGAAGAGCCTTAAGAGCCAGTGTAATCCCAGCACTCAGGAAGCTGAGGCAGGAGGATCACTGTGTGTTTGAGGCTATTGGGTTATATGGTGAGTTCAAGGCCAGCCTGAATTGCAATCCCAGCACTACTGTAGGAAGGTAGGTGTCTGTCGGGAGGCTGAGGCAGGAGGATCGCTGTGAATTTGAAACCCTTCTGGGCTACAAAGTGAGTTCAAAGCCAGCTTGAACTACGTAATGAGATCTTGTCTCAAAAAGGTAAGTAAATATATGAGGGGGGTGTCTGGAGAGTTATGGGCATGGCTCTTGTCCTATGAAACTGACTGGAATCAAATAAGCTAGTACATAAAGAGAATGTCCCCCCCC